CACAGTGAATCTTTTGAAGAGGTCAGGGGGGAACGTTTTAAAGAGTAGAAGCCCAGAGGGGTGGGGGGAAGGGCTACTCTTTATTTACTGCATGTGATATGCTTAAGTTCAGAGACTGTTACAAGTATTACACTCAGTTTTGAAATATGTAATTTTGTACATTATAAACTTTTTGCTCTTTACAGGATGACTTCACACCACTGTTACTTGCTGTAAGTGAAAACAAAGAGCAAATGGCAGAATTTCTAGTAAAGAAAGAGGCAGATATATATGCAGTTGATAAGTGGAAAAGGTACAGTAGTGTGTTCTTTTTTTTTTTTTTAACCTTAGTGTTGTTATAGAGTAGTAACAGCCACAATGGAGGAAGTACGAAAAAGGAACACCTGTCAGGTTGGGGGCCAGTAATATCTGCTGCAGGGATTCACTGGGGAATTCTGAGCAGACGAGAAAGATTAGATTTGAGTATTAGGGCTCTCTGGTTATGACATAAAGCAGGGATCTACAAGCTTTTCCTGTAAAGGGTCAGAGAGCCCATATCTGAGGCCATGTGGTATCTGTCCCCTCACCTCAGCTGTGCCATTGCAGCGTGAAAGCAGCCGTAGACAGTACTGGACAACTGTGCTCTGGTAACACTAGATCTGCAGACCCAAATGGCGGGGTGGGTTTGTCCCATGGGCTGTAGTTTGCCAACCCACCATATAAAGGATGGCAGGCCAGAAATACTATGCTATTTAAGCATGACAGTGTCAGTTTATGGTACTGATTCTACTGATGATGTCATTTGTTTTTCTCAGGCTCATAGAGTTTGGTTAGGACTGTGGTGCTTGTAAATAGCCTTTCACTTTGAGGTATCAAATTTTGATATATCGCATTCATTTTTTTCACATTTGGTAAATACAAAGGAGGGGAAGTGGCTCTTTTGCATTAATTACCTACCAGTAGTATACTCAGTATTCACTCTAGGGTAGTCGCCAGGTGTGTTCCCAAAGGAACGCTTTTGAAAAAAGCATCGGTCTTATACTTTTAATATTCTCTATTTTTCTA